TTTATTGGTTTTAATGAAGTTGAGAAGTTCATATCTTTTACTGAGGGATATGAGGGAGTTAACATTAATGGCTGCGATTTTGATACACTTATTAGCGATTATTTGATTGTTATCTGTGTGGTTGGGAGTGGCGAAGCTACTGGTATTAGTCAACATATTCGAGGCTTGTGTTGAGATATTCGAATATGGTGTCAATTCGCTTAGTGTTGTTGTTAATCGCTGTTTGTATTTGGTTTAGTTTGTTGTTAATTGCTCTGTCTATTTGTTGTTCTATGCGGGTGAGAAATGATTCAAAATTGAAGTTGTTATTGTTGTTGCTAGTGTTATAGATGACATCACTGCGGCTGTTATTGCCGAAGAGGTGTTCGTTTGTGTTTTTGGTACTGAACCATGCGTTTTGTGTCTTATTGAGGTTTTGGATGCGGTTAGGGATTTTATTTCTTGCTGGTATGTTATGTTGAGTGTTAGGGTTGGCTGGGTGGGGTGTGGTGGCTTTGTCGACGTAATTATTAATTAGGTTTATGCGTTTAGTTCTTTCTAGATTTTTTGAAGCGCGATTTTCTACATGTATTTTTCTCGCGAACTTATAATAAGGGCAGCCTTTGTATGAGGCTGGATGTCCTGCGCTTTGGCAGTTCGCACAGTATAAAGTGTTGAGTTCGTTTATGCTCTTCGGGATTGTGCATTTTCCCGGTTCATGGTCTTTGCCGCATTTGACGCATCGGTATCCCAGCGAACAGTTAACGCTAGAATGTCCGAAACGTTGGCATTTTACACATTGGAAGAGACCTCTCCTTTTGAGAGGTTCCCAATAGACTCTTTGCATGTCTAAGTGTCTAATTTTCGTGATACTTTGGGTATCACTATCATTGCTTAGTTGAATTAAAAAATGTTCTTTCTCGCTATTTTTATGGAATTTAATTTTTGATACCTTTGTGATGTTAGTGTTAGGCAAGTTAAAGCTGAGCAGATCGTTTTTGATGTCCTCGGCTGAAACATTGCCTTCTATGCCCTTGAGGAATAAGTTTTTAGGTTTCGCGCTATTTGGCGTATAGGTGTAGAATTTAAATTGATTAACCTTGCAGATGTTGATAGTGTCTTTATAGGTGGAGAGTGACGAGGCAAAGATTGTGCACGTTTCACTATCTGTCTTTTTTATAATAAGGTCTTTTGAGTTCATTTTTTTGAGAACACCTTTTATGTTCTCGAATTGTATATCACATACGTAAATCGGCGGTGGACGGTCCTTGCCGCGTCTGGGTTCCTCCACCCTTCGCTCGGCAAGGGGTGCCCTCTGGCTTTGGCTGGGGTGATGTTCCGTCGGTGTTGCTGGGTTCATTGTCCTGCCCTCTGCGCGGTGGAGTGGAGTGGCGCTACTGGTCGTTCCGATATTCCTTGTCGGTCTAGGTGGCGGTAGGGCTGGCCATGGTGCAGTGGCCGGTTGTGTGCTGTGTTCCCTCCCTTGGTTGGCGTCCTGCTCGATGTCTTCGTAGTCCAGCAGGCGCGCGTATTTGTTTTCAATTTGAATCTTAGCTTTGTCCGGTAATCGCGGTTGTCTAGCCACTCTTTTCGGTTCGTTCCATTCGGACGACCGTTGGTGGTCGCTTTGTTCAGTGCGTATTTGCGATGTTGTTGCACTTGTTGGCGAGTTTTCCAATGGTCTTTTTCTCGCTGCGGCTAAATTTGGTGCTAGGCCTGTCGGTGTTGTTGGTCTATATCCAAGCTGTTTTCTTGCTTGGATAAATAGTTTGTCCAGTGGAGTTATTCCTTGTCCTTTTGTCTGTTTATACCGGTTATCGTGCAGTGCTGAGCCAGGAGCTCTTGGTGGGGAGCATTCTTGGTGTCCTGCCTTTGTGTTGTCGTTTGAGACCATTGTTCTGTCTAGCACTTCATTTGATTGCTCTTCAATTTCCATATTGTTAATTATCTCCCGTGATATTAGGCTCGGAGGGGTGTTTCGGGGAAGCAGGGATTACACATTTTTCTCGCCCGATTTTACGTGTTTGTTATGTGCACTCACTGTTTGTTTTCGGTAACAAGGGAGGGTGATGAAATTAAAAAAAAAAAAAAAAAAAGTAAAAGATAGTATAGAAATAAAGCAGGGGTATGAGAAAGAAGGAAACCCAATTGCTACACTCGATATTGCACTCGATATTGCACTTGATTGTCCGAGATGTATTCGCAAAGCACGAGCTACCTGATCCGTGACCGTACGCTTCGAACGCTTGACCATCACTCCCGGAAATCAAACCTTTTTTTTTTTTTTTTTTTTAAAGTTTATTTATTTTCCTTTTAACAATGCTTTTGCGTTTACAAGTAAAAATAAACTAATTAAAAAAAACTTCTTATGCTATTTTTGTTTATAGTGAGCCTTGGCTGGCGTTAGCAGCTCTCGGATCCTTAATTATTCTTATTTTTAAATATTCTAATCAGTCTTGATTGCCGTTTTTAAGATTTTTGTTTATATTATCTTTTTATCTCGTTAGGTGAGCTATGAGGGAGAAAAAGTTTTTGTTCACAAAAAACCCGAGCATCAATCTTAATTTTAACCTTAAACTAACCTAAAACTAAAATTATATACATATATTTACATATTTACATATTTACATTTACAGAAAATCTATTACAATAAAATAATATCGTAATATTTCCCTTAGGGTAGTTTACAATTTAACAAGAGAAAAATTGTTTGGTCAGAGAAAGATTTCCTTTCAATTATTGTCTAGGATTATTTTTCTTTGTCTTAGTTCTCTTACTTCTTCAGTGTTCTGATCGGTCCACCAGTATTTCCTCGTGTTTAGTCTGTGGAAGTCAACTTGGTCGCGACTGGGCATTGCCGTTGAGTATTTATTCGGTCTGCTTTTAAAGTTGTTCAGATCTAAAGTTTTGTTGTTTTTGTGTCTGCTCTTGTGATACAGGATTGGCACATTCATACCATCCTGGATCAGTCCGAGTCTGTCGAGAGTAGTAAAAGATTGTGGCTGGAGTAAGCCCTTCTGCGCGTTTAAGTAGATGTCACCTTGTGTGTATTTTAGGTTTTTGATGATTGCGTTATTGATCGTGTTGAATTTGCTGTAGTAATCTCGAGTTAACTTTATTCTGTGATTGTCGATTCTAGGGATGCCTGCCGCTTCATAGAGTTCATTGTTGCAGAATCTTTCTCTGTATTCAGTTTCAGCACGTCTGTGCATATTCAATGTTGTTCTAAGGCATGATCGTTCAAACCTCCTCAATTTCTCCATTTGTGCAGCCCCAATATTCCAGCAAACTGGGGCTGCATACGTGAGAAATGGTCTTACTAAGAGTTGGTAGCAAATTATTTTTGCTTTGGGGCTGATGAATTTATTATGAAAGAGCCTACCAAGGGATCTGTAGGAGTTCCTTGCTTTAGTGAGTTGTGCGTCTAGGTGAGAATTACATTTTGCTAGATAATCAATATACATGCCTAGATATTTTACCGAGTTTTTGGTAGGTATTTTGATGATTTCTCTCGTGTCAGGCTTGAAGGTTTCGATGTAGAATTTTTCGTTATTTATTCTCTTAGCTTTTGTGACGAATCTGGCAGGCTTCCTGATGACAATTGTTTCACACTTTTCTGGACTCACTCTGAGATTCCACCTCGCATATAAGTTGTTTATTTTGTTGACCAGGGACTCCAATAGCCCCTTTAATATGCTCGGATATTTAGCCGCCACGTAGATGATAAGGTCATCTGCGTAGGCTATCGAATAGGTGTTGTTATTTCGGTTTAGCTTGAATGCATTCAAAATATGGCTTGTAAAAATGTTGAACAGAGTGGGTGAGTTCACCGTGCCTTGCTGTAGCCCCTCTCGAATCATGAACAAGGTTGTTGATTTTGTCTTGCCATTCCAGGTGTAGAAGGATCTTTTGCTGATCATACTCCAAATTATGCCGATTAAGTGTTCTGGAAAATAATTTATTATTAATATATAAAGTAAGCCATACAACCATACCGTGTCGAACGCCTTTTCCAGGTCAATCAGCGTAGCCCCGACTAGGTCTCTATCCAGGTGCACCATGACGTCTGATAGTAGCTTGTTTATTGCGTGCACCGTAGAGTGTTGGTGTTTGAACCCGAATTGGTTGTCGGGAATTGTTTTATGTACGTTGCAGTGTGCAGTTATTGAGTCATTTATGATGGACTCATAAACCTTACTGATGTTAGGGGTCAGGCTGATTGGTCTGTAGCTTGACGGCAGATTTCCTGGTTTGCCTTTTTTGAGGATTGGAATGGTTTTAGATGTTTTCCACACCTCAGGGAAATATTGTAGGTTTAGCGCGTTGTTAAAGAGAGTAGAGTAGTCTCTAATCATAACCCGCGGGAGGTGCTTCAATACAATTGATGGAATTTCGTCGATGCCCGTCGAAGTTTTATTCGGTAGCTTTTTGAGAATATTGTCTACTTTTTCTGGAGTACAGAATAGATTATTTGCTAGGTCATTTGGTGCATGTGCTCTGTTGTCGTCGGAGAAAACAGTGATTGTAACGTTGTTATTTCTGTTTGATTCTAATCTATTCAAAAAGTCAGTGACTGTTTGGTCAACTGTGTTCTTGAGRWCAGTGCCWTGGTTTAGGTATCGCGGTGAATTAATTGTTTCATAACATGCTATAATTATGCTAATTTTGTCCTGGTCTTCTGTTATCACATATTCATTGCCAACTTTGCTGAGTGTTTCTTTGGGTATTCCATACCGGACTAGGAGATGGTCTTCTTCTTACTTGATGGTGAGATTTGGCATCTCGATTTTGTCGTGTGGTCTGAATAATTTATTAATAATTGGAAAAAATTYGTTAGGGTCACGATGATCAATTTTTTTGGYGATYTTTTCCCAGTGACTTTCCATGTTCGTTTTTATTTCGAYCTGAATTTTGTTTCTGRTGAGCTCTAGTATATGCTTGATTTTGTTGATTAGTTGTTTGTTACCTGCGTCTGTTTTCTGGAYCTTGTGAAGCTGTGTTAATAGGTGTGATTTTTGTTTGTGTAGTYTTTCAATTTTATTRTTTATGTAGTATCTGYTAAAATTATTGTTTCTGGGCTTTTTTGGCACTTTTGATGCTATCGCGTTTGTGATATGCTCGTTCATAATTTGTATGTAGTTGCTTATCTCCTCTGTTGATAAATTTTTATCACTGGGAACAATAAGGTCGTAGTTTTCRTCGAGGTGTTTAGTGAATTTTTTCCAATTTGTTTTTTTGAAGTGTAAAATGTCAGGGTTGCCCTCCGATCTCATTTTTAGAGAGATGTCTTGTAGGTCTATTTCTATGATGATAGCTTTATGATCACTATCATATTCTATTGTGTTAAGCTTATTATTTTTTAAGTTTACTAATTTTAACCTGGCATCTGCAATGCAGATATCTGGATACGAGTTTTTCGGAGTGAAGGTTGGCTCGTGTGGGGAGCGTGTATTTTCGTTCTATAGTTGACTGAATTGTCCCTCTCCCAGTTAACCAGCCATCTACCTCTTGTTTTAGTGGTCCTATCACCTAGGTCTTTGTGTCTTGCATTGAAATCTCCGGCGATCATATAGAATGTGTTGCTGTTATTTAGGTTTAAATTAGAGAAGAGAGCATTTATTTCATCTATGAATATATGCTTTGATTCTACTTTTGTAGTTGCATAGAGGCTGCCGATGATTAGGTGTTTCGCATTACTTAGTTTTACTTTTATTAAGGTGTACTCAATTATTTTGTTGCTGTTAGACTTTGGGTATGAGATTATTGTAAATTCGATRTTGTCTTTTATTACTATGGCTGTACCACCTCCTCGGTTAGGGCCAGGTCTGTCAGTGCGGATGACTTTGTATCCATCAATGTTGATTTTATGYTTGGGGTTGAGCTTGGTCTCTGTGACTAAGGTGATGTCGAGGTTATTTTCTGCTATTAGTTTTGTGAGATCATATCTTCTTTGGTGTTTAATAATTGAGTTTACGTTTATAGCTGCTGTCTTCAGGGTTTT